GGTGTGAGCAGGGACGGTTAACAGTGCAATAAGAACCGCGCCCATTCCTCTATATGAGTAACGCGTGGGTGTTTGAAACAATACGAGGGTAAGCACCCATTCAAAATAAACGAACGCAACTGTCAATAGACCATGATATGTACCAATACATTAGCATGGTGGACCTGTGTACTAAAAGGTAACTCCAGTGTATGCGGTAAAATAAACCAACAATTGCTCCTTATAGGGCAGTCTTGCTCTACGTGTATCAGTCGGTATGTTTCATCCTAACTGTATATTTGTCCCAATATTTACAGATAGATTACATTCAAAACCATGTGTTCAAAGTGACTGTCGAATTTCGCTTTTCCCAGGGTTTCCTTTTCTAGAGTAGTTTGTTGAAAACAGGCCAAAGACGTCAATCCAAGAAGGAAAAGGACTCTACTGTCAGACGGCAGATTTCGAATATCACCATGGGTTCTAGTTAACATTACTACCATACGCAGTGTCCACAAGCCCTGATGTGAGCGTTTTGCATCGTCGGAACAGCTTATTAATGATGGTAGTCCAGAGCCACCATCGGAACTCAAAACTGTCTCGAAATGTGACTGCTATTCCACAGGATCAGTCAGAGGACCTCCGAATTCTCAAGCGGACGAAAATGCTCGCACTTCAGTGACGTGCAGGTATGTGCTCAAGTCTCGGGACCGTCGAACCAGGAAATTCTGTCATTCCTACAATCTGTGACATTTTCCAAAGACAACTTCCCATCTAAAACTACGAGACATAAATAATATCACCGCACGTAACAGCTCAGGACGTACATTAAACTGAAAACTACCATAATGGTGCAGTCCTCTTGTCTGGGAAAAACAGGCTAATGCAAAAAAGGATATGAGCGAGAAAGGATGGAAAAAATTTGTCATCTGGAATAATGAGAGACTGCTCGACCGTTAAGGATAGCAACAAAACGATCCACACTTATTAGTGCACCACATCTAGAGAGAATCCTCCACAGTAGACCATTATTTAGGTCAATTCGACCAGCTTTCCATCTGAATGGGAATTGCTGCACGATGAAACCCTGCAGTGAACAAGGGGTTATTGTGCCGCTCTAGAAGAGGTTAGTTTCATCATGAAAGTCGCAAATGAGAAAGACAAAAGTTCCACCCCCCCCCAACCACAGACACACAAACACGTAACGATCGCTACTCAATGGGCAACATGAGCTCGCTGTTTGAATCAAAACGTTTTCTTTGGCCGGCGTCATTTACTGGGTCGAACTATTTCCGCACATTAGTTTCCGCCGTGAGAGGTGACATCGGCGGACGGGCCATACTAGACTGTTGGATTACACTCGCTGATAGCAGCCCGCAGGCTCAAATCGGACAAGCATACCAACATTCATACCTAGCCCCACCACGACCCATCGTATTCCGAATTATGCAGTTGCCCATGAGTACGCCTTCTCAAAAGCAGTCATAATGTCCCCAGACGTGCCACCTAAACAAAACTGGCCCACCGTGACACCTGTTAACTTGTCTCATTCATGCCAGCTAATTCGATTTATGCAATTCGTCCGCAATTCGACATCTGGGAACCCTTTGATTCTGCCTAACGAGGACCCTATGTGTAGCGCTCACAATCGAGGGTCAACAGTTTATCTTCTGAATGAGTGTACAATAGTGAGCACGCACCGGAAGAAGTATTGCATTTAGTAACTCGGTGTTCCCTCACTTATTTTCACGTGATCGTAACGCGGAGTGAAGAAGAAAGTCTGAAGCTCTGGACGATCTAAAGAACACCACCCTGTACGCGATGTTAGTAATCAAGCACTAGAAGTGAAGTAAGTCATGTACGACCCTTGTATTCTGACCTTCAGTAGAAAGGGAATTGGCAACTTCGGGAGTGTTCTGTATTGAAAGGGCCGAGACGGCTGTGATTAGAGGGCGAATTTACTGACCGGAAGATCCGTGGTTCCAACCAGGCGTCTGCATCTCGATTTATCCTGTCTAGGTTTGGGAGGCAGTATCACAGCCCTCGTGCTTCCTTCGGATGGCATGGCAGTTAGGCACCGAAGAGTGCTACAGCTGAAAGATTTTCTCAGCCACAGCTGAACGGTTTTGAAATGTACTGTGTCTAGGCTAGGAAACTACCGTGTGTTCTCGACAACTCATTCTCAGGTCGACTGCCAAATCAATAAATTATCGTTTCTGCAGCCTGCGAAAAGCCTTTAGAATTGGACAGATTTAAACTGCAGCGATAGCGTTCGTGATATCATACGATGGAATACAACGTCCTTCGTGTCTATGGCAGTTGCGTTGTTCCTGACATCGCCCTCGCACAGATTAAGAGAGATTATCAACCTTAATTTGGTGAGTCACCGTATTGAGAAGACGCACCACGTAGTCAGCCGGAGCTCTGATTTTTCAATTCAATTTTTCGAGTACGTTACTAAAATTCTGAGCAGATGTACAGAATGTTCACTTGCGTGATTGACAGGTGATGCAAGTCAAGTTGTACAATAAAGTTGAATTTGTATCAGTGTACCCAGTAGATTTGTCCCCAAGACTGAGTTACTAGTTCGCGAGACCTGTATAGCTCGTCTAGGAGCTTCTTTCTATTCATTATTAGGAAACAAAATAATCGCGCCAAGACAAGACAAGCACTGCCCAAGCGCAAGTGGATACCAACTCAAAGAAATTCGTAAATGCCTACAAGTAAACGAAACTGTGAGTGGTTTGGTGTCCGTGGCACAGATTGACCGGGAAGTTCTAGCAAGTAGGGCATCGATCGCCGCAACCATGACAACTACTGGATCCCCGCCGAAATGTCAGGCTAGCCACACAAACTGCTTTGGCACGAACATGTCCGTTTGTTCAGATGTGATAGTTCAGGTGCGTACAATGTGCGCTGATGCGGTAGCAGTGCAGAATAAGTTCAAATGCGAGTACGCCCGAAGAGCGAAACTGTAATCTAAGGTTTCCGTGATGTAGACCAACCAGAATAATTAGGCCACGTCAGGAATTTTCAAAAGATAGTCATGTGGTTAACAATGCACTGCCTGCTTTGAAAGTGAGTCCCACAAATACCGAGGGTTTTCTCAGACTATGAGCTTGAGATCAAGAGGGTCTACCTTCAAAATGGACTCCAGTAAACATCGAAGTAGGCGGAGACAGTCTGGGTAACAGAAAATCCCACAAAGTAACGGAATACGGATAGATGGCTAGAAATCTCACTCAACGGTACTGGTTTATCCTTTCTTTACCTGGTCGGTTGAACCTGAGACCATGTTTTTGGACCAAACTCCAGAAGCGTGATCAGAAGGTTTGCATAACTTCTCGGGAGGTTCATCCCAGGATCAGACAATGCGGTTGACTCTTCTGAACCCTGCTAAGCTGTTGCAAGCCAGAGCGAAGAGCCTGTATCTGGTCCGTTTGAGGTTCCTCTCTACACTACGTGAGAACCAGATAGCAAACTCTCGGAGTGGGAAAGATTATTAGTTTCACAAAAAAGACTACTAGATTTCTGGAGCAACATGAATTCCTGTGCAACGCGATCCTTCCATCGGCCAGTTAATATCCGCGACCTGAGACATGGTAATAGATATAAGATAGTCATTAAAACACTTGATTGTTTGATAGGGTTTACGCGACAACCACCGACCAAACTCTAGCAGTTATCCTAAGTCCGCATCTTATTTAATTGCAGTCATACAGAATAAGTTCCTCAGCGCAGTGAAAACTTCAGTCACTCAGAATACGACTATCGGCACTGAATACACAGAAAGTAAGGGGCGAACAAGGGCATTATGCATTTTAAAGTGACCTTTACAAATATACACTGAAGAGATTGAGCCCACATTAGAGCATAGTGGACAAAACAGACGGGAGACCAAAGTATGAGGGAAGATGACCAAGGGGAACGTACATTCCACGGGATGTTGTTCGCTGAGAAGCAACAAAACACAAGTGGCAGATAGACCATGGCAGGAAGTCAGCTTTGGAAATCATTTTCAGTGATGAGTAAGAGTGATTATCAACAAATTCAATAGCATGCTTGTCGTCGCAAGAAATGAAATTAATCCCTGAAGAATGGGTCGAAATAACATAAAATGGAAAGTAACTTCCACTTCACTTCCAGTTGCTCCGCTATTAACTTGCAAACGGAAAGACTCGAGGTTATGGGAACTGGCCACCAAGTGGCGTTTGAGCTACTCCCACAAAGCAGCCACGTTTCCGTGATAGGTGGAAGCTATTGGGCCACCAGCTGTGAAGAGACGTGTACCAGAAGGATCATATTCATGGGTGTAAATGGCCACCAACCGACGATGAGCAGACAGACTAGAATCTGAAGGAAGATTGGACAGAAGATCAATCAGAGGTATATTGACCGCAGACGCCTGGGATCTAAAGTCTGTAGAAGGTAGACGCCAATTGGTGGGTTCCATTGAAACTTCGTCTTCTCCACCCTCTTCATCTCTATCGTCTGAGTCATTGGATTGGTCCGGTGGCTCTTCTACTTCCTCCACATCATCGCCACTCTCACTTTCGCTGTCATCCGCTAGCGTTGGAATGGGATCTGCAATTCGGTCGAGGGTTTCACTGAATGGTAATTGCCTACGTCTTGAAGAACCGGCGAGAGGAGCATAATCTTGCTGCTGTTGTCGAGTGTCTGGATCATTGCTGACGGACGAATGAAGGGTAGCAAGTGAATACATAAGTGAAGGGAATAGCCGACTGCGTAAACCGTACAAACGCTGCTGCCTGCGGTCCAACCTAATGCGGATATTGTTTGACCGTATGGGAAAACTGCTGGCACCGTGAATCAGTAGTTCGGGGGTCAAAGCTGAAGTAGGAGGGGGTGGATTGGAAATTGGGGTTCGCCAACCCGAATTGCTGATTCGTGAAAACCAGCTGGTGTCGGACATTGAAGCGCCGCTAAGTGGAGTGGGAGTACTGGATTCGTCGTTGACACACACGTTTGGTTTAACCCAACCGGGCCCTATTTCCAAATGTGTAGGTAGATGCTGACTTCCACGAAGGTCGTAGAAATGAACTTGACCATTTGATGATCCGTAGGAAAGCACGTCACCCGAGAAATTCAGAGAGCGCACACCGGACACAGCTAATGGTGGATGGATACAACAACCACTTGCGCTGATCGGATCCGAGCACCGGATATCGAAAAGTATCACGCAATGATGGGTAGCGAGGGCAACGCAATGGGGTTCGGAGGGCCACCGACGAAGAGCGACGGCTTCCTGTAAAACACAAAAAGATCAGTTAATATGGACCGCATCGAGCAAAAACGTATGTTTGTACCCAAACAGTGAGAAATTAAGTCACATCAATAAAGGTTCTATACACCCAAAAAGTGAATTTCCAGTGGCAAGAAAATTAGGGCAAGCTAGGCAAGTAGACCTGGACCAAATCATTTTCATCTTTGAAAGTAATATCAGCGCCATGCAAGCCCGTACCAAAGAGACCTAACTTCATGTTTTGGGTGTTCTCATGCAACAGAGAAAAATCTACGATACTACACTGACCTGATAGGCATCACGAAGTGCTAGGGTGAAAATGGGTTTCGTTTTTTTGTCTGACCCCATTCGGATAGCGTCGTAGAGATATAACCGACGTGACATAGACACAACAGTGAGCAAATTAAGTGGAGGAAGATACTCCAAGGCCCGATATCGGTCATCAGGAATGGAAGAAATTGCGTGGCTCACTGGTCGGTCGATGCAAGGCGTATGAACTGTTTGTTGAGAATGCACACTTGAGCTAGGCGAACCGAAATGAAGGTTGTCACTATCCATCGGAATACGCCACAAAGCCAGAGAAGAGTCTCGTGAACAAGATGCAAGGTAGGTGTCATCAAGCCAACGCAGATCAAAAACCCAGTCAGTATGGCAGTCCTGTCGATAAAAGAATAAATGTAAGAGAATTGAAATGAACGGTAAAACATAGCAATATATGGTGAATCACGCTATTTTTGGCGGAAAGGCAATCTAGCCTACAAAATATGTAACAACTGGAACGTATATAAAAACAACTGTTAGTAAGGGTCCGTCAAGAACGGAGCATAATACTTATCGATAGTAAAAACTAACTGTCAACCGCAGGAACACATCAGAATGAAAATGAGCAGAACAGAAACAACAGCAACATCAGAAACTCGCAATCCAGCAAACAGCCGATCATTGTCTACCCGCAAAGCAGAGGTGCCGAATGGAACAGGTGTTCGAGATATTTCCAAGCAATCATCGCTCATTTTGGAAAGTGATCAAGGGTTTGGAGAAGGAAGCTTCGGGGCAAGTTTTACGCCCATAATCCTGTTCTCACGATTGTTTTGCACCTAGTTTCATCCACATTTGTTTCAAACGCGAAAGATGACGAAATTGGAGATGTCTGACCGTTCCTTGGTGGTGCGCGAATTGACTTAATTCGTCAAAGTGTGGTCAAGACTTATGCAGTTGCCAGCACAAGTGAACCTGTCTACAAACTCAAGTTCCTCATTGTGGAGTTTCAGATAGGAGTAGGAAGCCCTGAAATAAGACTACATCATGAGGATGTAAAACGCAGGGGCCATTTTTGAAGGTTTATTTCAAGTGATTTGTGCGTACACATAATAGCCGAACAGCATAACAATACCATCTACATACTCCAAGTATACTAATCGGTCTCCAGATATGATTTCCATAGCCAGATTCTCAGTCCCTTAGACACTGCACCTCAGGAGTGTGTCAGCAAGTAAACTAAGGAAATACGGGGCATACTGGCGAACTCCAGTGGTCGTGAGGAAACTTTCCAGTAGCTCACGGCAAATTCTAATGATCAAAAGAAGGGGATTAAGAAACAAAAGAACTCGAAATTAAAGGGCATTCCTCGTTGGCCAAGCATGTGTATGGGAGCCTATAATTTCACGGAACCCAAGGCTCAGTTGAAAGAAAAGTGCCGTTTGGTCGGAAGTATGCGAGACACTGCTTAAACACTTGAAGTAATGAGATGTCGCTATGGTGCCCTAAGTATCGGGTTTTTCTCGATGAGATCAAGCATAACAGCATTAGCAAAGCTGGCAGCCGCACTACAACTGGGTAACGCGTATAGACCCACAAATAAAGGCACAATGAATGATTCGCCCATACATTTACTTTCGGGTTTGTATTTGTATTTGGGCGTGGTTGTGTGGATCGATTCATACGCTGGGAGCGGCTTTGCCTGTCTAAGTCGATGTTGCACCTCGGCTTCGCCAAGGTAGATGGCCGATCAACCACATGTAAAACGATAAACGAGATAAGGTTGACGCATCAGTGGTATGAGCAATTAGTGCGAGACTCAGGGTCACGTATAGGTACAGACGGTTGCTACCACGTTTTGCAAACAGATACATTCATGTATATGCTACGCTAACCAAATATCGCATGCTGGATGATACCTTATTAGTACTGGATACGACAAAAGTTCGGTTAAATGGCATTGTGAGTTGGAGCTCAAGACTTAATAAAAATTGGATTGGAGACCAGATTTTCAACAGTTTAAAGGCGATGGATGCGAAAACTTACGCTTCATAACACACTTTTTGATGCAAACCCTTTCTTTATGCTACTACTCGTTGACACCAGGGAAAGTGATCTAAGTTCGCTTCCTAGGTAACATGCCTCTTTAATCCGGCACCCTACTTGGTGAGAATCCATCCTTGCGTACCAAACTTTTTATCTGTACTTCTACTAGAGTAGCCCGATCATTGAGTGGATACTTTGTGCGTACCTTTTGCTCATCTTTATAATTTTACAGAGGTCTACGGTTGCCGCATCCAATTCGACACACAATATTTTAATGGGTTTAATTCGCATTGCATTTAGCTACACTGAAGAAGTTTTGCACATTTTAGCACAAACACGATGGTAGATAAACCAAACATGAAAAGCACTTCGCGGGGACATACTGGCCAGACAGTCACTTGGGATAACGAATATTCACTATGAAGCCAAAGTCCACAGGCCTCCAAGTTGGCTCGAATGTTTCGAGGACAGACATGTACATTTGCTAATTTGGACAGAGTAATGAGTGTAGGGCTGACATTTAATGAAGAAAAGAATGCTTGGCGAAAGATACGAACTAATGTAAATGTCCGTTATCAACAGATAATCCATGATGGGCAATCGATGTATTTACGGGTATGTGTATTTCACCGACTTCGGAACAGCGCCATATATGTCAGTGTCTCTGTCAACACCACTTCAGAGTTTTCTGGGCCTCAACAAGGAAGCCCAGAAGTTTCTATTTTCCCTAAGTTAGCGGTCAAGTGTTTAAGGTTACTTCACCACAGTACTGGTTGTTCACTCCTTCGTTTCTTTTGGTTGTGCCTAGCACATGTGAACAGCGCGTGGAAGGGTGGACGTTGTGGTGATATATGTAAAACATGACGTAATCAATCTCACCGGTGTATTAGAATGATGGTATCTAGAGGTGGGCTGAACTAGCCAATTACTTTTTTCATTATTCATTCGATATCCCACCACTGAGGAGAGCAATATTATGCAAACAACGGCTTTCAAAGATTGATAGTCGTTGGATGTCTTCCACACGAGTCGGCCGAAATGGATGCACGGTAGACCTGTAATAATAATAATCATCAACAGCATGACATCAGTGTTCAACACCGATGCTTCACTGTAAACAGGTCCCTCAACCGAAAGACTGATATCATGCCGACGCCGACTCAAACCTAACTATTACCATCCGTAGAGATGCCTAGACCCTCACAAACGAGGGATTCAGCAGTGTCCAGTTATTACCAACCTATCTTGCAAACGAGTGTGTTCGTTGCGTGAAACTTGATGTTCAGGCAGAATACATGATTGACGGAGACTGGAAGACTGCATCCACCTGATAAGTTCAATGAAGGATGAAACTATATGTGGACTGTCGACGAGTTTTGCATAACCATACCGGTGATGTTTTCCGTCAAGAAATTTGAACACTTGCACAAGTCCAACTGACGAGCCGACTCGCCAAGTTCTTGGAAAGGTAGACCTCGATGGAGGCCTTAAAAGCAGTGTACATCTACTGAAACCCGAAAATCTTGTTCAAAACAGGCGCTTTCGGCACTCGGATGACTACTGTCTATGTGGACGCATTATCAAGCAAATAGGGTAAGTCCGCATTCGATCGCCATGGAGTTCCTCCAAAGATTGCAGGTTATATGGGAGGGCTGTACATTAAATAATCGTTTCACCCTTTCAAAGCCTAGCTACCTTGCTACACATTAAATAATCGTAACACCTTTTCAAAGCCTAGCTACCTTGCCACCAGAAGGAAGCATGCGGGCTAGGATACTCCCAGGTTGCCCAAGCCTAGACAGGGGAAGTAGAGATGCAGAGGTCGGGATAGAAGCACGGACTTTCCGGTCAGTAAATTCACGCTCTAACCACCGAGCCATCTCATCCCACGGAATGACTGTGTCCAAAAATAAAACAGCGGTTCAGGTCACTTCCTCCTCATCATCATCATCATCGACAGCGTGATATCAGTGTTCAACACCGATGCTTCACAGCCGCGCGGCATAAGTTGCAACTGCATCAAAAGCGTCGCTCTCTTAAATGCTTGAAAATGTTGGGGAGACTACCTCTAAATGAAC